CCCAACATGGACATCTCAAATCTCTTGGTCATTATCCTACTAAATTCCTCACAAAAAGTATGATTAGTACTACCAAATATTATGTCATCGACATATATTTGGCATACAAAGATATCTTTACCAACTTTGTGAGTGAAAAGAGTAGGATCAGACTTTTCCTATTTCAAAGCCTTGTTTTAGCAAGAATTCCTTAAGACATTCATACCATGTTCTTGGTGCTTGCTTAAGCCCATAGAGCGCCTTTTGGAGTTTGTAGACATGGTTGGGGAACTTAGGATCTTTGAAGCCCGGTGGTTGCTCAACATAGACATGTTCTTGAATAGGGGCATTGAGGAATGCACTCTTCACGTCCATTTCATATAACTTGAAATTATGATGAGCGGCATAGGCTAGAAGCATTTAGATTGCTTCAAGCCTTGCCACTGGTGCATATGTTTCTTCAAAGTTCAAGCCCTCTACTTGAGTGAAGCTTGAGCAACCATTCTTGCCTTGTTCCTTGTCACCACGCCATTTTCATCTTGCTTGTTGTAGAAGACCCACTTGGTGCCAATCACGTTCGTCTTGGGTCTTTCCACCAAAGTCCAAACTTGATTCCTCTCGAAGTTGTTTAGCTCTTCTTGTATAGCCATCACCCAATCTTCATCTTCAAGTGCTTTCTCTACCTTGAGAGGCTCCAAAGAGGAAACAAACGAGTAATATTGATATAAATTTTCTAAATATGAACGAGTCAATACCCCCTTTTGAAGACTCCCAAGGATGTTGTCAACGGGGTGATGCCGTTGTATTGTTTGCCTTAGTCTTGGGTGATCAATGCCTTCTTGTTCATCTTCTTCTTGCTCAAAGACTAGTTGTAGGTTTTGTCCATGAACTAGAGTTGAATTAGCTGCTGATGACTGGGTGGGTGCGACTGCCGCTTTGAGGTGTGGCACTACCACATGCAAAAGTTGTAGTAGGGGTCTATGTTGGCATTTCTTAGCGTCACCACTAGGATTTGTGTTTCCTAGTAATGGCACCAGAAATGACTTGACGATATTTCTGAACGCATACAGAAATATTCCGCAAGTGCACGGATACATCGTTGTAGTATTTCACCCAGAAGTATTCGGGTATCGTTCTTTTATATTTTCCCAAAGGAAGGCATGGTGTAAAAGTCTCTAGTAGGGACATGGTCAAGATAACATGACTATATAATAGACCAAAGTTCATAACAAGGGTAAGCCAGGATAAATATTGGATAGTGTGACACACAAACTCAAGCCAATCTCAAGGATAAAGATAAAAGAAAGAATAAAGAATAAAAGAATATACCTAAACTGGAGCAGGCTTTTCTTGTATAACTATGTTAAAATGAGCAGATAATCATACAAATACATGAATTTCTAAGGTTAGAGATCTAAGTTAAGATAGCTTTGGTCACTATAAACTTACTTCAGGCACCGGAGATCACCTGGTCTGCCAAGCGATGCCGGCCTACAGCTCTATGCCGAACCCGAATGTGGGGGGTTATAAGGGATGGACAAGGTTGTTACCACCTGCCGCCTACCCCTCAACCATGGGGAATGAGGCAAATGAAGGTAACTTCTAGTATAGACATCATGTCTATGCTTTTGGTTACTACTCTAGCGTCGGCCAGGAACATCTGTCTTTATCAGGAGTCCTCTACTAGAGCATCCACCACGGGGATGGACGACGAACCCGCAAGAATATAATGACCAAAACTAATCTTAAAGTAGAATTCACTACCTCAATTTAGGTCTTGGTTCAAACATGTATGTTGTATGAAAGATTAAGCACAAAGTTCTATATGTTAAACTAATAACATAAGAACTTAGCTCTAATTCATAAGCATAGCTATATTGATAATATGAGAGCAAAAACAAAGAAAAATTCTCAATATTATTCATACCAAGTTCAAGCTCTCCAATGAAGCTTCTTGCCTAACTCCAACAAAACTACTAAAAATAGTAAAAGAATACAAGTGGAGGGAGAGAGGCTCTTGAATTGTGGTGTGTGTGGTGTGAGAGCCCTCTCCATCTATTTATAGCCTTGTCATTGTCGGTTTGGAGGAGATTTCCATGCATGCCCACAGGCAACCGTCATGGAGGCACCACCAGGAGATGCCATCTGGAAGGAGGAGGCGGTTGGAGCCCCTAGGGACCCATGTGTGGCCTCCCTGCCACTACCTTCTGCATGGCGGTTTGTTGTTGGGCCAGGAGCGCAGCCATGCCGGTGGTTGGCCTAGATTGGATGGGTAGGTGGGCCTCTCTCTTTATTTGCTTATTTTGTGCTTTCCTGATTGCGCATTTTGACTCTATTCCCATGCATTTCTTGTATGTGTCATGCAAAACAATGATTCTCCAATACATGTGAAACTAGGTCAATATAAGTAACATATGTGTGTGAGATATGCTAGTTCTCTTCTTTTTGTGTCTTATTTGGAGGTTGAATTTGGTTGATAAGGACTGCCAACAAGATCCCCCAAGCTTACCCCTTGCTCGTCCCAAGCAAGAGCTAAGACATTGGTTGTTGATTAGGAGTTGCTTCAATGCCAGTTGCCATTCACAAGTACCATGTCTATAACGAAGTATTCTTCCTTGATTTAAATAAGTTAGCATTTTATCCACCATTTTACCTTGATCCCTATGGGGTTTGTTGCTTTTCCAAGTTTTGGGCAGTTGCAAGATAGAACGGTTTCACAGAATCGCTAGTCATTCATTCCTTGATCGACTTTCTTTCCAGAAGTTTTAAGAGTTTTGTAAAATAAAAGTAAGTTCCTCAAATGATTCACTCGATCGCTCAATGTGTATAGTCCTCACCAAAGACTTTTGATTGCCTTATTTTCATCCTACACTCTAATAGACTTTTTGTGGAGTTTTAGGTAGGAATAAAAAGAGGCATACTTGCATCACATGATATTGCTGAGTCAAAAACTAGATCCAAGGAGATGCAAGTCATACACTTTGATCAAGAAGTGCAAGTGTGTGGAATTTTAAAATCTTCCTAATTATAAATATTTTTGTACTCCTTTGAAAAAGACTCTCTATTTTGATGATTGCTTTTTATTTTGAAAGTATGGGCTATCTTTCTTTTTTCATGCTTTTTTAGCATGGGATTATTCATGCTCTTTGGCATGGATTTTTTTCCTCTCATGCTCTTTTGGCATGGATATTTTCTCTTTTTTTCTTCTTTTTTTGCATAGCCCATACTTTTCTTTTGGCATATGAAAACTTTAGAGACAGAGACTCATGATACGTGGATGGAGTATTTATTTTGGTGGATGGAAAAACATCATGTTTTTGCGTAACTCTCAGTGTAAGAGTCAGCATATTATTTGTGGGTGTACATGAATCTTGATCATGGGTGCATGACGAGAATCTCAACAAGGGTCACAATAGTTTGACAAAGCTCAATGTGAATACAAGCAGCGTATGACTAAGGTTTTATTGCATTTGTATTATGTCATATGGCATTGGTAGGAATTTATAATCATTAAGGAACTTTTCATTTTTAGCAAAAATAAAACTCTAGGTGTCAAGTTTCTCTTAGAATAAAATCATAGCAAATTCCATTCGTACCATATCATAACTTGCAACAACTTAGAAAAGGATCATGCGTTTGCAACCCACAAGTTTCAAGTTTTAGGATGAGACATTTTTAGCCAACAAACTTAAATCTTGGGGAATACTAAGTTATAAACTAGGCACGGATGAATTATAAGATAGAGCAACTATTCATCATTTCAACGAAGGAGAAACTAAACAATCTTACTTACATATGTAGAGTGGAATAAATATATTTTTATTATAATTTTTTTTAATTTTATTTAAATTTTATAATGTTTTGATTTTTTAAGTAATGCAAGAAAATAAATGCAAGATACTCAATAAAAGATATAATGTACCTCTGCGGGAGTCCTCCCCAAGCTAGCCCAAAGTCTACAGCCCTTCGGCTGCTTTTATTAAAATGCAGAGGCAAACTTGAGGGTTTATTTTATTTATTTTTTTTATTATTATTATCATTGTTATCATTATTATTGTTGTTTTTTAATCAAGGTTCACCAAACATTTTTTTCATCTATGTTGTCATCTCAAAGACTTACCCTCATGAAGTTGATACATTCCTGCAAGGGTTTAGCCCATATGATCAACGAAAATCTATACTAGCAGTTTTGGTTCAAAAAAAATTAAACTAGGCACCATGTCTAATTTAATCAAGGTAGGCTATTTAACCTAAGCACCACGCTTAAATTAAAAAGCCTATAGAAGCATAATTATTACATCCAAACTTCAAACTAAGCACCATGCTTAATTTAAAAAATGTATAACCAATACTCCTAAACCAAAACATGCCGGTATAGAGAGAGGAAGCATGAAAGGATAAACAAGAATCATCCAACGGAGGTGAAACATTAAATAGTGAACAAGAGAACCATAGGTTTTTATTCTTATTTCTCTTATTTCTCTCATTTTTTATTCAAGATAGCGGAAAGTGGTGAGAGTGCAAGATACATGTTACCTTGTGGGGGTCCTCCCCCAAGCTAGCTCAAAGCCTGAGATCCGAGGTTGTACCCCTATGCTTTTTGGCTTTTCTTGCATGGTTAGGATATGGTAGATCACAAGTGGACTTACCATCCCTTGTGATTACCACATTCACATTTTCAACTAAAATCTTGGGTTGCCCCGAGATATTTTCAAGATCATATGCATAAATTGTAGTGGCTATTTGGGCTAGTTGGGTTTCAAACATTTTATTTGCATTTTGTTGGGCCATAAAACCCAGCACGACCCACCCTCACACTGTCACACACACACACGGCACACTAGAGTCTAGAGCCTTTTGCTAAAAAAAGAGAGAGTCAAGAGCCACCTCTGTTGCCTGGGGAGGCGATGTAGCTCCCCACAATCCACCAGCCGCCGGCCATAGAGATGGAGCTGCTATGACCCAGTGCCAAGAGGAGGAGATCTAAGGACCTCGCAGCCGATGAGCCCCAGCCGTGGGCAATGGAAGCCACGAAGGCGGCCAATCTCAGACCTACAACCAACACCAAAGAATCGCTGCTGCCATCTGAAGCTGCTATTGGTAGTGGTGGTGGCAGCGGCGGCGGCGGCGGCGAAGACGACGACATCAACTACATCAGCCTCCTCCCGACGCCATCCTCGGTGAGATAGTTTTGCTTCTCTCCACTAAGGAAGCCGGTCACACCCAAATCCTTGCCTCCCGGTGGTGCCATGTCTGGCTTGCCTCAACTCTCATCCTCGACGGCACAGACCTCTACACCAAGCCCCAGGCCAACAACCACGATGCTAAGAAGTTTACTGCCGCCAACCATGCCCTCGCAAGCGTGGTCTCCCTCATCCTCTTTGCCCACCCGGGCCTCGGCCACCGCTTCTATGTCCCACCACACTTTCTCTAGGACCGTCCTGCCACCGTGGACACCTGGCTCAGCTCCCCGGTGCTTGTCAACCTCCAGGAGCTTGATTTCTGGGAATGGAAAGATATGATATATAGGTATATGCAGCCCTCTCCGTTGGCACCACCACCTACCTCTACTTTCTAGTTCTTGGCTACCCTCCGAGTTGCTACCTTTGGCAAATGCGAGCTCCCGGATAGCTCAGTGAAAGGGATTCACTTTCCCCACCTCAAGCAGCTTGGCCTTGAAGATGTCAGCATCTCCGAGGGCTCATTGCATACCATCATTTCTAGCTGCCCTGTCCTAGAGTGCCTACTGCTTAAAGGCATCTTTGGGGTTGGCTCCCTCTAGATTAGTTCCAATAGCATCAGAAGCATTGGCGTGGGTGCTGATCATCTTAGGGACAATCTCCAGTTCTTACAGGAAGTCATAATTGTCGATGCCCTTGTCTTGAAATATTTTTCTATCTTGGTGCATACAAGCTGACCAGTTTAACTGTAATCTCCACACATAAACTGGAGACCATAGGGCATGTTAATGATGGATGGTTTGGTCATCCCAAGCTTGTGTTTGGCACCACATCTATTCAGGTAGCCATGCCATTTTGTTTTCTTCCCATGAAATGGCTGCTGAGTTTTGTTTTCTGCTACGGAGATTTTCATAAACTCCGCCTATGTTGTCTCAACATAGCAGGTCCCAAGCCCTGGTAAAGGAGGAGGGATGTGATAGGCGTGGCGAGCCAATGTTAAATCTAGCCATTCTAATGGAGATGAAACCCAAAAGAAAATCGTTGGGGCATAACCCTCTTAGCGATGTGCCATATCGGAACCCGGGTATGGTGTTAAATGGGCAAGGGCCGGGTTGGCACCCCCTTGGTGACGCGCCGTGTTGTGCTTTGGGCATGGTGTCAAGTGACCAAGGATCGGGTCATCGCTTCCTTAGTGGCACGCTACATCGGTTCCCGGGCGTAGTGAAAAATGAGCAAGGGTCTTTACATCTGAGTCAACGGGTGCGAAGGGTAAGGAAGCTAGTCGAACCAACTAGGATCCATTTAGGTAGTTGGAATGTAGGGTCGATTATAGGTAAGTTAAGAGAATTAGTTGATACCGTGACTAGGATGTGTGTAAATATATTATGCGTTCAAGAGACTAAATGGAAGGGTCAGAAGGCGAAGGAGGTGGACAATACAGGTTTCAAGCTTTGGTACACAGGGACAATCATGAATAGAAATGGAGTAGGAGTTTTGATTGATAAGAGCCTCAAGAATAGTGTGGTGAGAGTGAGAAGGCAAGGAGATAGGATTATCTTAGTCAAGGTTGTCGTTGGTGATATGGTCTTGAACATAATTAGTGCGTATGCCCCCCAAGTAGGCCTCGATGAGAGTGCTAAGAGACAGTTCTGGGAAGACTTAGATGGCCTGATTAGAGCTGTACCTAGTAGTGAGAAGCTTTTTATAGGAGGAGATCTTAACGGGCATGTAGGTACTACAAGCGTAGGTTTCGAGGTAGTTCATGGAGGTTTTGGGTATGGTAGTAGGAATCAGGAGGGGGAGGAAGTTCTGGACTTCGTGGTAGCTTTTGACCTGATGATAGCCAACACTTTCTTTAGAAAGAGAGAATCTCATCTAGTGACCTTCAGTAGCGAACAACACTCTAGCCAGATTGACTTTGTCCTCGCAAGAAGAAAGGACAAACGAGCATGCTTGGGTTGCAAGGTGATACCAGGGGAGTGTGTTGTTTCTCAACATAAGCTTTTGGTGGCTAACTTTTGTTTTCAGGTGCGTGCCCGTAGGGATAAACAAGCTAAGATTGAAAGAACAAAGTGGTGGAAACTGAAAGGGGAGACGTTAGAGGTATTCAGGGAAAGGGTTATCAAAGAGGGCTCTTGAAAGGAAGAAGAGGACATAAACAACATATGGGAGAAGATGGCAACCAATATTCAGAAGGTGGCCTCAGAGATGTGTGGAGTAACCAAAGGAAGTGGAGGTGAGGCTAAAGATACTTGGTGGTGGAATGAGGAAGTCCAAAGGGCTATTAAGGAGAAGAAAGAATGCTATAGACGTTTGTACCATGATAGGAGTGTGGACAACATAGAGAAGTACAAGGTGGCAAAGAAGACTGCAAAGCAAGCTATAAGTGTGGCAAAAGGTAGAGCGTACGAAGATCTTTACCAACATTTGAGTACGAAGGAAGGAGAGAAGGACATTTATAGGATGGCTAGGGTTCGTGAGAGAAAGACAAGGGACTTCAACCAAGTTAAGTGCATTAAGGATGAAAGGGAGCATCTCTTGGTGAAGGAGGATGAGATCCGACATCAATGGCAAGAGTATTTTGACAAATTGTTCAATGGTGAGAATACGAACACAACCTTTCAGTTGGATGAATCTTTTGATGACACTAATAGGCGCTTTGTGCAGAGAATCCAAGAATCTAAGGTCAGAGAGGCGTTGAAAAGGATGAAAGGAGGTAAGGCGATGGGACCGGATGGTATCCCAATCGAGGTGTGGAGATTGTGGAGATGCCTCGGGGACATAGCTATAGTATGGCTAACCAAGCTATTCAACCATATTTTTCGATCGAACAAGATGCCTGACTAGTGGAGGAGAAGTATATTGGTACCGATCTACAAGAATAAAGGGGATATTCAAAGTTGGACTAATTACAGGGGAATTAAGTTGATGAGCCATACTATGAAGCTATGAGAGAGAGTTAGCATCGCTTGAGAGCAATAACACGGGTCTCTATAAACCAATTTGGTTTCATGCCCGGAAGGTCAACCATGGAAGCCATTTTCTTAATAAGACAAGTTATGGAGCGGTATAGGGAGAAGAAGAATGACCTATACATGGTTTTTATTGACTTGGAGAAGGCTTATGATAAAATACCAAGGAATGTTATGTGGTGGGCTTTGGACAAACATAAAGTCCCAATGAAGTACGTCGGGCTCATAAAGGACATGTACAACAATGTTGTGACTAGTGTTCGAACAAGTGATGGAGACACGGATGACTTCTCGATTAGGATAGGACTACATCAAGGGTTAGCATTGAGCCATTATCTATTTGCCTTAGTGATGGATGAGGTCACAAGGGACATACAAGGGGACATCCCTTGGTGTATGCTTTTCGTGGACGATGTAGTACTAGTTGATGAAAGCCGGACAGGAGTGAATCAGAAACTGGAGTTATGACGAGAGACTTTGGAGTCCAATGATTTTAGACTCAGTAGAACTAAAACTGAGTATATGAGATGTGACTTCGGCACTACTACTCGGGAGGAGGAAGATATTAGTTTGGAAGGTCAAGTAGTGTCTAGGAAAGATACATTTTGATATTTAGGATCAATGCTACAGAGAGACGGGGATATTGATGAAGATGTTAGCCATAGAATCAAAGTAGGGTGGATGAAGTGGCGCCAATCATCTAGTGTCCTTTGTGACAAAAGGGTACCACAGAAGCTAAAAGACAAGTTTTATAGGACGACGATTAGATCTGTTATGTTGTATGGTGCAGAATGTTGGCCTACGAAAAGACGACATGTTCAACAGATAAGTGTCGTGGAATTGCATATATTGTTTTGGATTTACGGTCATACAAGAAGGGATCGAGTTCGGAACGATGATATACGTGATAAATTAGGGGTAGCACCAATTGAAGAAAAGTTTGTCCAACACCGTTGAGATGGTTTGGACATGTCCAACGGAGACCTCCAGAGGCACTGGTGCGTAGTGAAATCCTAAGCCAGGATAGTAACGTGAAGAGAGGCAGAGTAAGACCGAAGTTGATTTGGGTAGAGGCAATAAAAGGAGACTTGAAAGGATGGAATATACCCAAAGACTTAGCCTTAGATGCTTGGAAAATAGCTATTCACGTGGCTGAACCTTGATTACTTCTGCTGGGTTTTAACTCTAGCCTATCCCGACTTGTTTGGGACTTAAAGTCTTTGTTGTTGTTATTGTTGTACGGAGATTTTCATATCATCTGCATTTGCACCTTGATGTTTTGTTCGATGCTTGATCCAGGGATTTAAAGTTGTAAGATTGACAACGGCATTGAGCAATGTCAAGACTCTAGCTGTCACATCATATCATATTAATCTTGATCCGATCATTGAGTTGGTGAAATGCTTTCCATGTCTGGAGAAGTTGTACTTGTACATAAAGGTGACAGTTCTTCAGTTACAGTTTCTGGATCACAATATTCATATATTCTTTTTATTGACTTGGTGTTAATCCTTCTACTAATGTGGTTTGAGTTTCCCATTTTGATTTGTTTTGTTCTTCAGTCTTGTAATTCAGGGAAAATGAATCAGAATCGGTGGCGGCGTCGGAATCACAATATTTCAGGAGAAATGAATCGGTGGCATCGTAAACACAGGGATTTCATTAAAAGCTCTGATATACATCTCAAGAAAATAGTGATGACATATCGAGGCATCGGATCACAAATCAACTTTGCGTCATTCTTTCTACTGAATGCAAGAGAGTTAGAGTTAATGAGGCTCGAAGTTGTAGCCAGTGATTACAATGACGCTTTTTTTTGCAGAACAATATAGAATGCTTCAGATGGAAAAAGGGCCTCGAGAGGTGCACGGCTACATTTTAGAAACAAAATTTGTACCCATGGTATACATGTTAATCATGTCCGAGATTTGTCTGTAGCAGACCCCTTCGAACGTAGATGGTAGAATTGGTCTAGGTCTTTATCCTTGGTGTTGCCACTTATTTGGTATTTGTCGGAGCAACTATTTCTCATGAATTGTAGTGTTTTGAATATCTATTACCTGGAACATGGGATATCCAAACAGTATATATGCCCATTCTTAGTTTTTGTTATATCAGATAAACTGCCTATAGTGTAGAAATAGCAAAATGAGAGCCATGTGCTATTGTGCAATATTGCTGCACTAGACATTTTTTATTTCGAATTCTGAATGTCAGCAACCTCCTCAGTAGATTTATGAAATCTCCATTTGGTACTACATATTGGTCCTGTTAATTCCAAT